AAAGCAGAAATATTTATTGCTAAAAGTTCTTCAGTTCAGAGTTTTTAATAAATATATTTTTAAGCTAGAAAACATGCTTTGCAAGATCTCCTGCTGCATCTATTAAATACAGGTAATTCTTTATGATAAAACTACTATATTTATCAGCAAAATTGACAATTTTTTGGTTTTGGTGTAATTATTTAACTGTTTGTGATTCATGTAATTTGGACGTTATGTGCTCTCTGATTTAGTGGAAATAATCGGTCAAACAGTCAGTTAAAAAGTGATCTAAGATCACAACACGTAAAGAAATTTGGCTGCAAAACCTGTAAATTACTTGCAGTCTCGACTAACCAAAGCTGCATTAGTTTTCGCAAATCCCTAACAGCTGGACAAAGCTTTAAAATGACAATTGTTCCCACTAAAAAGTGATCGATTTTTTTGTGGAAACACTTTGAATTTGACTAAAAAATTCCGGTTTCAACCGTCAATTAATTAACGCACACCACATTTACTTGCCAAATTTTACAAAAAAACTCGCAAATATGTCTACTAAACTGCCCAAAAACCTTTAAGAGGATCGAAACCAAATGCGGAAATAATCCAGAAATTATAATAATTTGGATCGAATAGAAATAAAAATGACTTTGTACAGTGTGAAACAAACAGAAGGGAGTATTACGTGTGTTATCTTGCGAACTTTGTACTCTGGAAGCATCAAGTTGCAACTCTATCCAGCCGGGTAAAAATCTCTTCATGAATGGATTCATTCAGAGTTGGGTTGAGCCGAAATCGATCGGCGCACACCAGGCTAGATGGCGTCGAGCAGCCGGTTTTAATTTGAAAAAAACTGCAAAACTAGACTAGGGTGTTTTAAGGGAAAAATTAACAGTTTTTGTCCTCGTATTTTTTGTTCTTCATCCGGACGTGGCAAACTAATCCTAAAATTTTGCCAGAAACCTTCCAAAACTACCAGATATTGTAAAAACGAACTACTCCCACTAGGTTTATGAAGTTTCTTTTCAACTGAAAATTTCTAAATTATATCAATTGCTATCTCCAATTAAGTAATTAGCCAGACCCCCACCCAATAAATCCAGGGCTGAAATATGGCAGGAAATCTTCCGAAGACATGCATACATCCACGTTCTTACTAATAAGCTTACCGTAGCCAACAGTGCATCCGATAGCAATAAAGCAGAAAATCATCAGTTGATCTTCGATCCTGCCAGCCAACATAATGTAGCCGGCCACTAAAACACCCGCGGATGTTTTGTCACTTGCAAAGTTCACACTCTCCTCTTATACCCGCTCATTGTTTTCCCGCAGGAGTTCAAGACCTGGAATACCGACCACCTAACGCCCTTTGAATGTCTTGAATGTAGAAGCTGCCGCCTTCCACCAGCAGCTCAACTCAGCACGTTTGAGGCCTCATCCAGTTCGGATGGTCGACGGGAACATTTTCCAGAACGAATCGAGTCAGATTTAAGCGACAGGTACAAAGATTTAACATTTAAAAGAAGTGCAATCGATTTTATTTGGGAAGTCAGGGTGTTACGGACAAAACGGCGCAACGCGTTCAGTGGGATGAACGGGAACAGGAAAATTGGTCCAGCTATGGATTCTGCGCCAAAACTCCTACGCAAATTTACAACGGATCCAGGGTCGGATAACAACAGAATTAGCTGCTCATTGTAGCGTAATTTAGTTTTTTGCTACGGGATTCATTCAAAGGAAACAGCGAAAAATATTGCAAGATTGCGAGCGGTTCAAGAATGGAATTTCCACAATCCGATGTGGGGAAATAAATAATCCAGCATTTCTTCAAAATTGTATTAAGTCTTCTTCAGCTTTAACATACTATACAGATTTTCTCATCCATAGTCAGTAACAGGAATTTGCCAACATCCGCTCTGCTTCATTAATAAGATAGATGGATGAGTGTAAGGAATTTTCTAATTGTACTCTGAAAAAATATTACTGTTTCCACGTAATTCATCTTTCTTTACTTTAAGAGACCCAATAGATTTCGGGTTCATTCATCAAAGGGACGTTCCTGGAAATTCCACTGGATCGCATTAAGCGCCTAGAAAACTACTTTTTCGGTAGACTGATCATTACAGCTAGTCACATTGGTCAAAAAATTGGCTCCATCTAGCGCAATGAGAAGTGTAATTTTAGGCAGCAGAAATTGGCAGAAAATATTCGTTTTCTATAAAATATTGCACATTTATTTTACAGATTTGCATCACCTACAAATTTTCAATCTTCTGTGGAAACAAAGGATTAAACATGACTAACATTAATCAAACACAAGCCGTTCTATTATCCAATTGATTGCGCTCGTTTATATCATTTGGCTTTAAATTAATTGCTCATTCGTTTCGTATGTAAAATCTACTCTTTCGTTCTGTACCTTCAAAGAAAACGGTGTTTTTTTTTGAACTTCCAAAATATGCCCTCTGGCTTGTACGCTATTTTTTTAAATGAAAAGGAGGAGTAGAAGCAAGGAGACAAACAAGTAAAGAAGAAATCAAGCAAAAAACATCTGTCCATTTTACGAGAATTTCCCAGTACAATACAAATTTCTAAAATAAGAGTCGTTATTAAGACTTTCATCAACTTTTAGGGGGAATCGCTGAATATATTTTGATGTAAAAGCCAAATTAAAGCCAAAATTAAAGCCAGCTTTTCCTGTGACAATAAAACGATTAGAAGAAAAAAACATACACAATTTTCTTTGGTTAAATTTCCGGTACAGTTTGAAGTGATTTGCTGGTTATTTCAATAAAAAATCAAATCAAACTTTAGTGACAACGGAACTCAAACAAACGAGGCTAAAGTGAAAGAAAACGAAGCAATAAAGAATAACAAAAAATCAGCTACAACGCATGTTTTTTCACGAGGAAACGAAATTTAATGCATCTTTATAGTCACAATTAAACCCAAGCTGCAAGCAATAAAAAAATAAAGTGCAAAGATGTAGTGAAGCATTTGGAGTTCGGAGTTGATGTGCTTTTTTCATCGTCAAAAACAAAGTACAAACCACTTTGCAGTATCAATAACAGATTTTAAAAAATCAAGTGCGAGTTTTCTTAATAAATTTCCTGCACGCCTTCGTAAGTTCATTTCTATTAATTCTTATTAATGAAGCAATTGTGCATAAATATTTAATTAATTAAGAGAGGCAAGCAAAATTTTAAAAAAATTATATCCACTGACACGAATTACAGGATAAAAAAAATAAAAACCAAACTAAAAGATATTTAGAAAATTCCAGCTTTCAAAACCTGTTCTTTTAACCTCGGCCTTTACACGTTCTAAACAATCAGGAATAGTTCTACACTATTTTAATGTCCTAGTGAGATAATTGCAACCTTACTAAACACAGTTAGTTCCTAAACCTCTTCATACTAATTTTAGTAGAATAATTGTGCCAAAAAGCAAATTTCCCATTAGGAACAAATGAATTTAAATATTCTAAAAGCTTGAATGAATCTAGATGTACCCTGTATATCTATAGTAACGTCTGAAATCGGTAAATTTGCAAGCATATATGGCTCCCATATAGTTTGAGACAAAATTGCCGTAGAAAAGTACGATTTTTGTTCCATTACTTGAATAATTTGGTTCAGAAACTCTCGTAGAATCTCACTCCAGGATATAAAAAAGCCAATAAATCGTGTTGAAGATCAGAAAACTGACCGGAAATATTATCCTGGAGTATTTGTCTATTAAATTCACATCCTTGATTTTGGGCATGGCTGATTTTAGCACAAGAGCTCCTTTCCTGATGGCGTGCAGAACTTTGGGCTTGTGCACGGGATTTCCTGCAAAAATCTTGCAATTACTGCCGGGAAAAAAACTTCATTTGTAGAAGGTACCTCTAAATCTTAGTCCAGGCGTTTGTCTGCAAGTGTACATGTACCCGGATGCCCGGCTATAGCGAAAGCTCGGAGGAAAGTTGCAAGAATCCAGCTCCTGAGCGTTCAGCTTAATGGAAAGCTTCCTGTTTCGGATCGACGGCAATGGACTCATACGAATATCATCCAGTTCGATAATACCTTCGTGCCTCAACGGGGGTTTCTGGGTTTGGTCACAAGTGTTGGTTTTTTTGGGCCCTAAAAACCAACCAAAAAAATCAACGTTAAGACCACTTGACACGCAACTTGCCAGTCTTCTGATCGTCTTCTTTGGTTTTCTTGCTCTTTTTCTTCGCCCTGGCTCCCCAGTACGTGTAGTTTACTGCAGCATACTCCAGAAGAGCAGCAAATACGAAAACAAAGCACATAACCAGATAGATATCGATAGCTTTCACGTAGCTGATCCGAGGCAGTGAACTTCTTACTCCAGTGCTGATTGTTGTCATGGTCAGAACGGTTGTAATTCCTAAGTGAGGCCACAAAATATTAGAAAACTCTCAGGGTGTTAAATCTGGTGCCTGGGCTGGCCATAGTTTTTTTTTTCTTTAATTCTCAATAAACTCAAGTTTCCTACTGGAGGGATGATGATAGGGGCTTTAACTGATTTGGACTTGGGCTGGAACTCCAGATTTAACACTCTCGGGATGTTTTAGCCCACTTTAAAGTCGGAAATTTAAAAGAAAATTGTAAAAAAAAAATTGTGTGTTGCTTACCCAAAGCCACTCGAGCGCTTGTTGCTTCGTGGTTGATCCAAAACGACACCCAGGACAACATAACGATCAGAATACTTGGCAGGTAAGTTTGGAATATGAAATAGCCGATGTTCCTCTGAAGCTTGAAAGACAATGAAAGCCGCTGGTAGATGCCTGAAAGAGTTCAACATTCTTTCATCAGCAAACTCTTCATGTTTAAACTCCGTGAAAGTTACCAGTCGCAAGCCGCTCCTTTCGATCGTTAGTTTCGTACCCAATAATGGTAAATTGGGGAAGCTCCGCTTCCTCCACTCCTCTCACTGGTCGGTTTTTCCAACACATCACCACATCCATCACAGTGTATCCATCTGGAAGTTTCCCCGTTTTTAACTATTAACTTTATCCGCAGCTCCTCATCTTACAACTCTCGATTTCCACGGTACAATTCTGCGAGTCCAATGGATAATAATGAAGATCCATCATACAAGCCAAAGTAGTGGTGAACCGCATTCCGTATGTAATTGATCCATCGCCATTTAGACGCACCAATTTGTTCCTCTCGGTTACATCGTGCAGATAGCTGGAAATAATGACGACCATTATTCAGTTCTCGAAGGGATGTTTTAAGAATCCGACTTAAATTGAGCCTATTCAGGCCTCCAGTCTTGACTAAGAGGAGTTGCTAATTGGCTAAGAGGGAGGTTACCTGTTTTTGTCGTTGGCGAAAAAAGTGTCTGGAACCCAGATTTTCTCTGCAAAGTCGCCGGATAGTGTTAAAACTTCGTCTTCGTGGCTGAACGCCAGTCTTTCGTCTTTCCAGTACTGGTTGAGGTAGAGCGTTATAGTGTAGTCCTAGACAAAACTCCAGGAAATAAACTGGAATTTTTCTAAAGGTTTTGTAGAAATTGCATATTTTCTTCCAGAGTGTAACTTGGGGCGTTTTTGATCACTCTGCACTGAGCTTTGTTGTGTCTTTTTATGGTAACGAATTATTGAATCCAAATATTGAAGAACCGTCTAAGTTATACCGAAATGGCCGTGAAGAACGTAAAAAAATTAAATCTGATCGACTAAGAAGATTCATAACAAGTTAATGGTTTCTGGTATTTTTTCATAATCAGATAATGCTTCCCATCTTTAGAAATACTCGAAATATTATCCAGGGAAATGAACCCAAAAAACTTAAAATTCGATACCATAAATGGCCAGTTTTGTACGAAATGTAATTATATTTTTTAACAACCTCAACATTCAATTAATAAAACTTCTTTGCTTCACAATTAATTCTTAGAAAGCTATTTTTCAATCATAATTTTACTTAGCATTTATTTGTCAATATTTATTTGGCCCTTTTTGTATTATTTTCTGCAGTTTACATTTCTGTTAATTTCCAGAAGGTTATCTGGTGCTTTGAAGGGAAATTTTTAGTCAGTTGTTTTAAAATTAACGTGTTTCTTACATTTACTACTTTTATAGAAAAAATCAGATGCAGTTTTAGTAACAAATGTATTTAGAACCCCATAATCTAAGATACAATAAATTAACATTTAAAATTTCATTTGTTGTTTTTGTAATTTTTTTCAAATTGTATGCCTCATTTTTAAAGCATTTTTATTATTTTGTTTTATCCGGAGTTACATCGGTTATTCGGGGTTTTCTAACAGACTTTTGTGACACCATTTGTGCCAACAAGACTTCGTAAGTAATTTTTTCATCTTGAGAAATCTCCATCTACTCGACCTATAAATATTTTCCGCAATCTATTTTATAAAATTATTTGCAGGAAATTAATAAACTGTTGGTTGCAAGGAAAATATAGAAAATATCGAAACGTACGGGAAAAGTTCATTTCCAGCTTCATTTCCTTTAAATGCAAGCCAGCAGCATTTTATTTGCTTCCTGTGCGCACACTCTCATACTCATATATTAATTGTAATTTATTAAAAGACGCCAGCGATATTAATAAAATTAATTAATTTTAAAACACTTTAAACTTGAAAATTTAACTACGTTTAAAAACAACACTAATATTTGAGTTCCATTCATTCTCCAGCAAACTTCAGTCATTTTTCTCAATTTAAACACTAAACTGATTGTCTTCATTCATCCACAGTATCTTTATGAACGCTTTAAACATTTCGGCTCTAAAAGGCAGCGTTTTTCAAGCCCTCAAAATATATTTTAACGACAGCCTTGCCCCTTTTGTAGGAACTCGAACTATTCAAAGGTCGCGCAATTACGCCCGAAAAATATGCATAAGCGCAAAATTTCATGGAAATCTCTATCGAAGCGAGATTTAAGCTGGAGAAGAATTTTAATTAAAAGTTCTACATATTCCACTTTGTTCAGTTTCCTTATGAAACAACAAAAAAACTCACCATGTTCACTTCGGATATTGCATCGAAACTTGCTATCGTCAAATCCATACCAACCAGAAGTGGATCACCTTAACAGTGATTAATTTCAGATAATTAATCGTTAACAATAGAATTTTGATCAGCCATAAAGGTATTTTATTGAAATAATTACCAAAAAATACGCAAGAAAAATGTGATGTGGCTTACCGCCAAAATCTGGTCTGAGTCGGATATCATAACCTTCCAAAAGCCTGGATATGGTCTGAGTAACATTATCCAGCCGGTCGGAAACCATCAGATTACCCTTCTGAGCACTAAAACCTTGGTTCTGAGCAAAAGAAAATCACTTCTTCTGTGCATACCTTATACAATTTTCCCTCGCTACATGTGCTAAGATAAACAACGTTCCAATGCTCTTAAACATCATTGTGCACGCACAAAAACACTGTTTTCCAGTCAAACTCGGGAAGCAATCATGCTGATTTTGAAAATGTTGGAACTCCCGGTCTAACTAGCATTGGAATGCTTGAAATTAAACAATTTGCTGTGGAGGAAAGCAAAGCTGACAATTTTATTGAGTTTTTAGCGGCATGTAACAGCTCTTAGCATCTTGTTCCGAGAAATGGAATCCAGGAAGAAGCGCAGGCGTTCGAGGATGCTCTCTATCCAGAGCCGCAACACGAATGGATTTTCCGAAAATTCTCGCAAAGATTTTTTTTATTTCAAGTTTTCAGTTAGAAGAACTTGGCCACATCAATCGCCGCTTGCAAGCGAAAGTGAAAGATCTTGAAAACCAAAAGACTCTATGCGGGAAATGGGAATTTCAGTCAAAAAACGTTTTAAAAAGCCAAGGAATACTTTGGTGATTAAATAGTATTTTATACATTCGAAGGTTTCAACGCCCCTTTTTAGCTTTTGCCCGTCCATTTGCGCTCTTCAAATTTAAGAGCGCGCGCACAACAGCGCTTTTCCTCTAACAGTTATTTGAAGAGAATTGTCTTTAACACTTAACAGTATTCGTAATATCAAGATGCATAAAGTTTGGTGCTTGCTGCTCTTGATTTTTCACCTGTAAGTAGCTAAATTAATGATTATTTAAAGAGTCATAATTTATCAATGTATGACACACACGTCGCTTTTTCTTTGTTCAACAACGTTTTATTCTGCTTTGTGTTTTGGAATGTATTCAAAAGAGTGCTTGTTTTGTCAAGATTATGTTTTATTTATTGCGTTTTTATTGCCATCGATTTTAAAATCACGTGCCTGTTTACAGGCTAATTTTGTTGCTAATATTAAAACATTCAACTTTCCTGCAACAAACCCCTACTTAATAGCTTTAACAATACATTTATTTTTAAGTTGATAATTTGACTTGTTAAATTCGTCTTTAATCAACGTTGAATGGGGTCGTTTTGCGCTCCTGCACTCGGAGATTTCTCATCAATTTTAATGGCTTGCAAATGTGCTCAAACATGTGGCGGAATAAATCAATTTCAAGATAATCGAATATAAGAAACACGAATTTCTGGAGGGTTTCAAATGTACTCGAGTTTCGACGATGTTCCCTGTAAGGCCTTCGTCTTCGCGAACAAAACAACCGCTGAATAGACGTTTTTTCCACTCGATTGTTAACTGGTTCGGAAAAAGGGAAATTCGAATATCGAATAGAGTTTTAGCAGCAGGATTTTAACACGTTTAAATATTTTTTTCATTCATCAATTTCCCGGGTGTTTTTCAACAATGAAAAGTGATTGCAGGAAAAGCCACTATCAACAGGAAAATCGCATTTATTTGTCGATGGTAAATCTCAATTTTCTAAAGTGGAAAACCTTTGTCTTTTGCCCAGACGGCCAAAAGGCCAATAGGAAAACAGATCTGCTAAAGAAACCCGAACTCTCGAGGAATAAAGTGAGAATTCTTGTCCGTCTCGTAAGAAAACCGCCGTAAATTCTCATTTTCCACTTCTTCTGCTGGTTAATAAATTGCGCTTAATTCCACATTATGCTTCATTTTTCTGCTTTCTAAAGTCCAATTTTTTGGAGTATTGCGGATTTTGCTAACTATTCATGAAAACTTTGGAAGAAAAATCAAAACGACAACTCGAACATGAAAACATTGAAATTTCCCTTGAAGCTTAGCGATGGAAGACGCCTTCTGATCAATTCCAACTAAGCGTGAATCTTTTAACATTAATTAGTGTGTGTTATTCCAGGAGGGTTGTGGCTCCTTACAGGATTAGCGGAGTGATTTTGCAAGGATCGGAGGCTCGAAATAGAAATAAATCCGTAAACGAGACTTTGCTTGGATTTTCTTCGCGTTTAAAATCCAACGAGAGCCGCATTCGGCGGAACAGTCCAACTAACGACGTTGTTAGCAAAAACATCACAATAATCCTGGAGAATTTATTGAAGAATTACGAAAGCTCCCAACTGCCGAGTCATGGAAAAGGTTTGTACAGTTTGCAAGTAAATTTGGGAAAAAACTGTTAATGAACTTCAAGCGGATTTCTTGGGAGGGTTGCGTAAAACTTTAGGGGCTGCGTAAGGACGCAAATTCGCCGCATTCTTGATGAAATTGCCGAATAAGCTCGGCTTAAAGACAGTAGCTTTTGGGCTTAGAGCAACTATTTCAAAGGCTTCTGAGGAATTTTGCGCATAATTTGCAGGTCAACCGACTGTAGTCCAGACGAATATTCTGATCAGAAGCATGGGACCGGTGTCGGAGCTGGATATGGTAAATTTTCGGGTTTGAAAAGTTCTTTGCCGGATTTTTCCAATTTCCAGGAATATTCAATGGATTGCTACTTCAGACAGTACTGGCGTGACCAAAGACTGTCGTTTATCGGCCCGATAAAGTCTCTGTCCTTATCCATTAAAATGCTGGAACGCATCTGGCGTCCAGATACGTATTTCTACAACGGGAAAAACTCCTACGTCCATACAATAACAGTTCCAAACAAGCTGCTGCGGATCAGTCAGGACGGTGGCATTCTCTACTCGATGCGGTAAAGAAAATCGCCAACTTCCAAACCAATTAGCCACAATTTCCTTTGCAGCCTGACGATAAAAGCCAAGTGTCCGATGGAATTGAAAAGTTTCCCCATGGACCGGCAGTCTTGTCCATTGATTTTAGGGAGCTGTAAGTTTACTTGCTGATGTTTCCAGGTGAACGTGCCTATTTTTTCAGATGCGTATACATCAAGGGACTTGGTTTATCAATGGCAAAGCGAGCGAAGTGTGAACTTCGTGGCTGGCATGACACTGTCGCAGTTTGATTTGATGAGTTATCCATCCAGAAACTTTACTTTCAAGCGAAGAGAAGGTATATAGGAAATCAAACCGTTCAAAGGCTCGAAATAATGGAGAATTTTAGGCGAGTTTTCCGTTCTGGAAGTGTCCTTTAATCTCCAAAGGCACACTGGATACTTCCTGATTCAAGTTTACGTTCCTTGCATTCTCATAGTGGTTCTTTCCTGGGTCTCCTTCTGGATCCATCGCGAAGCCACCAGCGATCGGGTTGGTTTAGGTGAGAACAACCTTTCCAGCGCAACTTCCAGATGGCTTGCAAGCAATATTTCCAGGCATCACTACCGTGCTCACTCTATCAACAATAAGTCTGGATTCCCGGACGGATTTACCGAAAGTTCGCTACGCTACAGCTCTGGATTGGTTCCTCCTCATGAGCTTCCTCTACTGCATTGCCACTTTATTGGAGTTTGCTGGAGTGCATTATTTTACAAAGGTGCCATCCGGATTTCTGGTAACCGCTGTTTTTAAGGCGAATTTTAGGTCGGCAGTGGCGAAATTCCCATCGATGAGGACGATTGGGAAGACTGCGAAGAACCAGCTGAAGAGTTTGTGGGCAGAAGCGCGGCCGATTTACTTGAAACCGTCAATGTGGACAGTCGCAGAAGAAGGAGCTCAATTGTGTGCCCGATTTATAACGTGAGTTTTTTTGTAATTTTTCTGTAATGGATGGAAAAGAGTAACAGGGTTAGTGGCGTAAAAAACTTGCAGGTTTTCGTCTGCAGGACAGCAAACCCTCCGGATTTAACTCTCCTGGATTTTTGTTGATCTATTTAAGACGTTAGTTGGCAAACATCCACTCGAAGCTCACAAAATGTATCTAAATAGCGGAGAGTTTCATTTAATCACGGGATTTGGGTCGTTGTCAAAGCAAAATTATGTTTTTCATCATCGTTTAAAACAATTACTGATATAGAAAATAAATTGATAAACGCTTTCATTTTGATGCTTTCTAGACCGCTTCACTTTACCAGAGTCCTAGAAGAACCTCCTTGATCTCCAACCCGCATTCTTCACCTCCAGTGAGGACGACCGTAGAAAAAACCACGCAAACCGAATACAAACCGCCCAAATGGAAGCAGTTTTTGTACTGTTTGAAGGGCGACGATAAATTTCGCAGGCAAAGACAACGAGAAGCTGCCGCTTTAGGTGACCATCTCCTCAATGCCTCAAAAATATTTTCACACCGATTTTTCGTGCAGATTCCACTAAGGATGGCCAACACGCCATTCGGCATGTGAACAGTGTTTCTTTGATTGATAAAACGGCCCGAATAGTCTTCCCAACGTCTTTTGGACTGTTCAACCTCTTCTACTGGCTGGTCTACATTATGACGCAGGAGAATTTCAAATGGGGCGATAACAAGTTGAATCCCCAGAGCCATTAAGGAGGGAAAGAAGAAAATCGGCAACTGTTTTCCGAAAAAAATCCTCAAAATAGAGTGTTTTTCTATTTAGTTAATTTTCAGGTTGGTGGGATGAATTATTTCTTCCATTCAACACGTCCCAGATGTATACAGAGTGTTTCAAAATCAATTCCTTAGCATTCCTAGGCTAGTAATTGTAGAAAATAGAGATCTGAAAATCTCGCCATGTACATTCTTTCAACTGCTTGGCACTTACAGGGTGTTTTTTTAGTGCGATAGAGTCGATTATTTCCGATGGTGTTGAACTTTCGAAAAATAGTTTCATATAAAAGTGGTTGAGGCACAAAGTGCGCACATTTGAAAAATATCTTATATGATACAGAGTGTCTCAGAAAATCGAGGCAAGATCAAAGTGTATTTTTTTAAATAGAACTACCCATTTTTCATTAGCTCATGGAAATGCAGCATCAAACGCTACATATGCACCGTAAATTGTTTTTTTCTTATTTGCGACGTTGGAAGATTATCACCATTTTAGTAAAATTTTGCTTAAAAACATGGTGACTAAAAATTAATTGTACAGGGTGTTAACAATGTGGACTTCAATCTAAAACTTTTTAACACAATATAACTTTTGTTTTTGACCTGTATATTAATTCGTCATTAGATAGACAATTTACAAAGTTATAAATTTGCATTTATAAATAAAAGTATACACTTTAAGCTGTGAAATCAACCGTTTTCAAATTATCATTTATTTTATTTAAAAATTTCAAAAAGTTGCTGCATTTTGTAAGGTGGAACTGGAATGTCAATGGAAGTCAATAAATAAGTATCAACATGTGAATTGCCACGTTTAATTGATCATTTACCTAATTATATCAAGGAAGGAATGTGGTATTTACATGATGGAGCTCCATCCAGTTCACCATACAACTCAAATTCATGAGTACCTAAAGAATTAATTTCCTGAGAGGTGGATAGGTAGAGGTGGGCCTGTTCAATGGCCTCCTCGTTCACCCGATTTGACAAAAATGTATTTATTTTTATGGGCTTACGTCAAAAATGAAATTTATAAAATAACTCCAACTACAAAAGATGGCATGAAGGAACGAACCACAACTGTTTTTCGAAGCATTAATAATATTGTTTTGAACTGCGTTAGCGATTCATTTCAAAAACGTAGATATTAATAGTTGCTTAAATGTTAACGGAAATCATATTGAACATTTATTTTAAAATATCACTGTAGGTATAATTTTATATTTTTATTTTAATATACGTATGTTGTTTTTTTTTTCATTTTTTGCTATGAAATGATTATGTCAAGTATCATCAAATTTTCACACTTATTTAATGAATTCCATAGCCACCTTACAAAATATAACAACTTTTTGAAATGTTTAAATAAAATAAATTATAATTTGAAAACGGTTGATTTAACAGCTTAAAGTGTAAATGCAAATTTGTAACTTTGTAAATTGTCTATCTAATGACGTATTAATATACTGGTATTTCCATTTGAAAAACAAAAGTTATATTGCGTTTAAAAGTTTCAGATTGAAGTCCATTGTTAACGCCCTGTACATTGTATTGATATTTTGGTTCAATAGAATTCTTAACGGACCTGTGGTGATTTGAAAGACGTATTTTTTTTGTATCTTTAACTGCTTTTCTTGCTTCTACAATAAATTTTTAGTTACCATGTTTTTAATCAAAATATTACTAAAATGGCGATAATCTGCCAACGTCGCAAGTAAGAAAAAAACAATTTACGGTGCATATGCAGCGTTTCAAGCTGCATTCYATGAGCTAATAAAAAATGGGTAGTTCTATTTAAAAAAATACACTTTGATCTTGCCTCGCTTTTCTGAGACACTCTGTATGATATAAGATATTTTTAAAATGGGCGCACTTTGTGCCTCAACCACTTTTATATGAAACTATTTTTCTAAAGTTCAGCACCAACTCTCTTGCACTAAAAAACCACCCTGTATGTGGAAAATTTGAGGTAACTGCCTCAAAAGCTGCTGGAGTCAGAGGAGAAAAACCGAGTAAATTGTGTAATTTCAGCGCTATTTATCTTGGAAACGACGCGTTTGCCGACGTATGTCCAACAAACCTTTCCGACTTGTTTTCGCCTGTTGTATCACCTAGTTAAAAAATCAATCACCCTGTATATGGAAGGTTAATTAGGTGACAACCGCTAATTAATCACGAGAGCTACAGCACAAACTGAAATTGTTTGTTGAAGCAGGATTATTTTTAAAAAACTTGATTAGGGGTTGAATTTGCCTTCGAACTTCTACACTCAATGGTGGAGAAGAAGGGAGGCGCTCCGCTTGTAGCCTGAGGTTAGGTACAGTGGGTAAAAGATGGCGCTAAAGGACTGACTTTGTGCGGAGCAATGGCGAGTAGGTTTTTGGTTCGCGTCCTCGCTAAGGATCAACTATTTTCCAAAAACCAGCTATTTTAAGAAACCGAAGACTGAATAGAATACAGTTTAAGAAACACGCTTTGTCGCCGCATTTCGTCTCAGGAAAACACCGCCCGTTTCACTGATGAAACCTGTGGGAATTATCGAAATGTTTCCCTTTTGTCAACATTAGCAGATCAGAGGCTGCCATGATGTTTCTGGCGTCGTTTTCGTCGAGTAGCCGCTGAAGTTTTCTGTGGAATGACTATTTTTTGGCCATCATTTAGCTGCGAACTGGTAACAGTGTGATTCTGTGTAATGTTAGCATGTAGTTTGTCAGGAATTTCCCTACATGTAAGTCATTTTGTATGGTAAAAATCGATCTAGGAGTGACCCTTCACGGCCAACTAATATGGCTTACAAATGGCTCTTTAATCGGCCTGTTAAGCGGTGGACTAGGGTTGTTTCTCGTGCCAGTTAATTTAAATGGCCCCCCCGCTAAATGGGGCCGGGCAATCAACCCTTCTAGATCGATTATTAGTCCATAAATGCAGGGAGTGTCAAACAATCTGACGTTGACACTAAGAAAAACAAAACTGTGCCTTTGTTGTCATAGTCTACCGATAATGACCTTGAAATTATGACAACATTCCCAACTACTGACTCTTTATGTCACTTACTAAAACTATCACGAATATTGTCCTTAGTAAGGAATCAGAATGGTGGTGGATGTGCATACGAGGCCCTACCACAACTTTAAAATGCAGCCAGCCTGTATGACCCCAAAGGAACTCTCCGATAATGACGACTTGGCTACGTCTTTAGTGTTGGACCCCATTCTGGGCTTCAACTCACACAAAATGAATATCAAATATCGGCCACTGAAAGCCAACACTTCAGAGCTGAAGACTATAGTGCAAGGCTTTATTCTCACTCAGGACTACGAGAAGGCCTATGGCTGTATATCGAAGGGCGAGTGGATGCCACGGCTCAGGTCCAAAAGTCAGCAACGGACTCTGCAAGAACATGTATGTATTTTTCCAACTAAATGGGGTTAGAATCTTCCCAACTTTCTTGACTAAATTACATTACTTTTCTTGTGTTTTGACTTGAATATCTAGATCTATCTTGATTCTAGAGAAGAAAACAAGCCAAAAGCTTCTTGGGAACCTACCCAAAAAATTCCTTTTTAAAGGGGCCGAAGGCCTTTGACTCTTGTACTCTGGCCGTAGTTTTTTCCGCATAATTTACGCTTTATTAGAATTTTTTTTTTATAATTGCACGGTTCTCTGGTTTTTGAAAATCGGAATACGGCTTTGTCCTCCGGAAGGCATAGCTGGAAAACAATTGGAAATCACGGTGTAGTAAAACTGCAGACAACTAGTTTCGAGGTCTTTATTTCCAGCAAATTCCTAACCACCTCTATGCTATGAACTATGAGTAAAATGAACATTAATTCGTATATTAGTTTTGCTCCTGTCAGTTCTTCCGCTGTTTTTCATTTCCTTTCTTATCTGCCCTTGTTGTGTTTTTGTACGATTTTTGAATTTGTTTAATTATCAGAAGCAAAGCAAATTTGCATAAGCTGTGTAAAGACAGTTTTTTTCAGCCATTTCTATTTTTTTCTTTCGGAAAATTTTCTTCATTTTATTTCTAAATGATTCGTTTATTATACTATTATCAATTTCTATCATCTTTCTGCCTTACACTTCTCAATGGCCACAATTCCTATTTAGGATACTTCTTGAGTCACTTCAAATGTTCTTAACTGCTTGGTTCCTGCTTATAGGTAACTTTTTCGCTTTTGGTTATTTCAATTCGCGAGTTCAAAAGTCCAGACGCTCCCCGGTGGCTAAAAGTATAACTACAAGTTACTTGTACGTAAGTAAAGTACTAATTTGACACTTGTTTTGTTGACATTGGTGTTTACATCTGATTGTGATTTGTTTTGTTAAAATTAACTTTGCAAGCTTTTAAAGAAATAGGAACAGATCGAAAAGTGTGTAAGTATTGTTTTATGTTATAAATGTCATGAACTCCAATAAATAAACAAGTCTGACAAGTTTCAACTGTCACACGACTAAGAGTAATTTGACGCCATCGGTAGTTGAACTGTCGAATAGGGTGAGTGCAACTTTTGATTCGTTGTCGAGTGCCAGTTGAGACTTGTCAGACTTGTTTATTTATTCGAGTTGATGACATTTATAACATAAAACAATACTTACACACTTTTTGATATGTTTTTATTTCTTTAAAAGCTTCTAAAAGTTAATTTTAACAAAACAAATCACAATCATATGTAAACACCAATGTCAACAAAGCAAGGGTCAAATTGCTACTTAACTTGTACTTGTAATTTTAGCCAGCAGGAGGCGTCTGGACTTTTGAACGCCCGAATTGGCACAGACCTCGCATTGAAAAATTAAGTGAAATATCGGACATTTTCTTAAATAATAATACAGGGTGTCCCGTAAGCACATGATCAAAAGGGTACTGCGGTATTCTTTGGATCAAAAGAAGACGATCTGACCTAACTTTTATTCACAAAAAATGTCTGGCTCCTCTGCTATTGGTCAAAGTTCTTCAAAAATTTTTTGTTTTTTGAAATATCGGGAAAATGGTACCATGTATTTTGGTGAAACTCGCTGTGAATTTGTTCTTATGTAAGACTCATATTTTGATGAAACAATCGAGTTCAGCCGTTTTGGACAAGTGATGAATTCTTGAGTGTCGTGGTACAAAAACTACCAGAACTTTTTATTTGGTGGTTGAAATCAATTCATTTTTTTTGTTGATGCACTAATCATTTATTCACAATTTTGTGCTCTTTGTAAAATCATGTAGCATTCATAGTTTTTGCGAAAAAAAAATATTTTTGTTTTATTGCCACTTAACAATGTTAGACATTAACTGCAAATATTGGGATACGAGGCATAAATTAATTGTTAATCAATCTCACAAATTCGTTTCGAATGATCTGGTCAAGGTATTAGGGTTTTGCGAAGACAACTTGCTTGAAAGCGTGCGCGTTTACGCGCCGCATATTTGCAGTTAATGTCTAACATTGTTAAGTGGCAAGAAAACGTCCTTTTTTGCGCAAGAACTATGAATGCTACAAGATTTTACAAAGAGCACAAAATTGTGAATAAATGATTAGTGCACCAACCAAAAAAATGACTTTATTCCGTCCACCAAATAAAAAGTTGTGGTAGTTTTTGTGCCACGACAATCAAGAATTCACCACTTGTCCAAAACGACTGAACTCGATTGTTTCAGCAAAATATGAGTCTTACATAAGAACAAATTCACAGCGAGTTTCACCAAAATAAATCGTACCATTATCGCTATATTTCAAAAAAGATAAATTTTTGAAGAACTTTGACCATCAATAGCAGAGGAGCCAAACATTTTTTGTTAATAAAAATTAGGTCAGATCGTCTTCTTTTGATCCAAAGAATATCGCAGTATCCTTTTGGTCATGTGCTTACGCGACACCCTGTATATTATGTTCACTCTTATAACATTTCAGTGAGTTTGTTTAAATAATTTTTTTCACTTCTTTCACAGGTGACAAAACGTTTATTGATTTTTCCTTTAAATAAACACTATACAACTAGGAATTAATGACAAAAAAGCGATTTTTTTTTCTTTTCCGTCTCTCTTTGTTGTGTGCTGTTTAGCATGTTATGTAATATTTACAGGTTCAAATGTCTTTACAACAGGATTTATGAAAAAACATACCAGAACCTTGCACGAAAAATGGGAGTTTTTTATTTTTAAAAGATTTGAGCCAGTTTTAGCGAATCTGGAGTGCAAATTTAATTTTTAGGCGAGTTTAAGTGTGGAGTCAGCAAAATTCTTCCTGGAGGAGAAATCTTCCTTGGAGGGGCTTTCCTGATTTAAATTGCTAGTAAATTAGTTGATCAAAAGCTTGAATGTGTTCGCTTAATTTAGGCTTAATTGATTTCGTTTAATGTAAAAAACATGGGCATAGTTTCACAAAAGCGGTAAAATACCTGGGATTCCTAGACGCCCGGCGCCTGATGTATTCTGAAGACGTTTTGGTTTAACAGTTATTCCCGCTGTTAAAATACGGATTTTTGTCAGATTTACAGATACCTTCGTGTATTCGATAAAGACTCTGGTTTCGTGATAGAGCCGTGCTATCGCTACACTCTAGAGGGCCAGAAGGGAGCGAAAATTTCGGCAACCAGGCGCTGGTACAAAAACGAGAAAATCGAGTGCTTGGTGGGATGTATTGCTGAATTAACCGAGCAGGAAGAAGACGAACTGTTGCATCCAGGAAAAAATGATTTTTCGGTCATGTACAGTTGCCGGAAAAATTGCGCTCAACTTTGGCTTGGACCTGCCGCTTATATAAATCATGACTGTCGCGCAAACTGCAAATTTGTAGCCACTGGTCGAGATACTGCTTGCGTAAAAGTCCTGCGAGACATTGAAGTGGGCGAAGAAATCACTTGCTTTTACGGGGAGGATTTTTTCGGCGACAAAAATTGCTACTGTGAGTGCGAAACTTGCGAGCGACGCAAAGCGGGCGTTTTCGCCAAAGAAGCGGACAGCAAAGAGGAGAACGGGTACCGATTACGGGAAACTGATAACCGACTGAATCGCACCAAGCAGAAAATCATGCATAACAATCACAAGGAAATGCCCGGATGCAATGAGAGGTTGCAAGCCAGCGCCATTCTCTCACCCTTGAGCATGAAGGAGCTGCGGCAGAAGGGCCTCACTAAATACGATGCGGAACTATTGATAGCGCAAGGTAAACCCCCTAGCTAGCCACTAACCACTAACCAGCAAACTTTAGGTTTGTTTTTATTGTAGGATGTAAATTTTCAGACATTAGTGACTTTCGCACTATGAAACGGGCTAGTCGTAGTAGTTCCGGGTCGCATCATAGTGAAGACCAGAAGAGCTGTACTGAGAAAAACGCTGTGATAAATGAAGGGAACGCCGCCCTGTCTTCAACTGTGAGTTCCCGCACTGCCCGACTGCAACGACGCCAAGCGCAGAGAGCCAACCAAGTAAGGAGAACTTACTGAAAACCACCAGCTCAACATTTCAAATATTTTTTTTTAATCTGCTAGGAACTAGAGCAGGCTGATACTCAAGACCTGTCGCGTTCGAATCTTCTGGACGACCTGCAGAGCAACGCGAGCAGTTGCCCCAGTAGTTTTAGTGATAATGATCCTGTCTGTGATGCAACCCAGCAAAATAAGTTATTTAACGATAGTCAAGAAAGCAGCAAGCTTGGTATGTTGCCTTTGTCGCCCCCCCCCCCTCATAGTTTTGCATTGTTTGATATTTCTCCCAGGTATAACTGCAGAAGAATCCTCAGGAATCACTCTTAGGAACCATAAGTGTTTAACAGGGGAATCAAAGCTGGACTTAAACTGCCGCAACTGCCATGGAATCAACAACAACATGGAGCTTGATACTGCCTGCAATATGAGGGCGAGCGGCGTTAAAAAACATCGGTGAGTAAACTTTGATGGTCAACCATAAACAGTATACTAAAAATGCGGAATCTTGATGAAGGCAAAGGCATCAGAAGCACCCATCAGTCTTGATCGATGCGAATGAAACCGATCAGTTGGAGGACGAGAGCTGTAAAACTGAGGATGATGTTTACGAATTTCACGACGACACCTCTAGCGATATTGCTCCATTGCGCAAGAAGGAGGAGGAAACCAAGCAGGAAATCAACGTGGAGGAGCAGGAGGAAGTTAGTGAAACAGGCCAACGCGAACTAAATACTGCCATAGAACCCGAAAGCTGGACCGTCGAAGAGGTGAGTGAAAGTTCCTCACTTAACACGTTTTACGATTGGTTTTAAAATATTGTAACGGAAATGGCCTGGGGTACTCACGTTTGGAATGGGGGATCGAAATTCATGGTATTTCAGTAAATGGGAGCCCCATTTGGGCCCCATTTACTGTCAAATATGACACTGACAAGCGGGAAGTTTCGCACCTGTTCTGGAGATTTCTAGAACTATCTGAAATATCTGGAGAAAAGTATATAAGCGACGACGAGAACCAGACAGGGGGAGTGAAGTGACAGGAGCGACCGAGTGCAGAAGAAGGTTTAACCCGCGAGTCGGAAACGCGTGTTTTCCTTGTGTTATTGTTATTGTTAGTGAAGTTGACGGTAACTTTGAAGTTAGTTTGTTCCTGTTCCGTAGTTAAAGTTGTACCGAGTGGAATAAAAGTTGTAAGCTGAAGAAAGAGTTTAATACTCGGCCATCCACGGTACAATATTAACCTTAAACTTACTAGCTAAACCTAGTCTACGTTAAAACATTAATCAGTGACCGAACTTGAGATTTTTAGCAGATCACTCGTGCGGTTTTATTAATTTTGTTGTGCGTGTGCGAAATTAATTTCAAAGGCACCATGCAAATCAGGAGCATTGTTTCAGCTGAACGAGTATCAAAAACCACCAGAGTGTGTTCAAAATGTCGCAAGAACTCCGGAAAAGTGCGGCGGTAGACTAAAACTAACGCTGCGCATGAAACGAAGTCCCGTGCTGGATGAGGTGATTGAATCGGGAAACAGTTTGAGCGATGAATATTTCGAGCCAGAATATGAAGTTCTACGGGTGGAAGGTGTGGAGGATGACGAAGAAACTTATTCAAGTTATTCGCATCGCAAGAAGCGCCATAAATCGAAAGACCGGAAACGAGATAGGCGATCAAAGGTGAGTGGAGAAAAGTCGTTTTAATATTGGTATATTTAATCGGTTTTATTTCCAGCACTCCGAGGCGAGAGATGAAGTTCCTCAGGTCCCTATGAAGAGACTTCGGCTCATTTTGGGCAACGAAAGTCATACAATTAATATACCGTCCACCAGCACCAATTGTGAGACATGATGTTCAATAATGTCCCTATAAGATTTATCAGTTAATTATACGGCTCTTGAGGGTGACACAACTTTTACGTAAAACTACTGGCGATTTTCCGCCAGACGGTTATGAAATATTTGTGCCGCTAAACGGGCTTATACATTTTTTGTACTGATTCTCGTTGTTTAAAGGCACTGTATTTGCCTATTTTCCATCAGACGCTTCACATTTCGGCTCTGAATATATTTTTCCAGCTCGTTTCATTACTGATCTACACTGAAATAGTATTATTTCAATCAACATTGTGGTCGGAAACACAACATGATTAATTAATTTATGTTTCACCTATACATTATTGGCTCATAATACCTTAGAGATGAAACATATAATAATATCCATAACAACCGAAGGGCATTGTTAGCGGGCATTATAGTATAACGCCCGCTTATAATGCCCGCTCATAATGCCCGCTCTTAATGCCCGCTAAGTTAATTTTTATAAAATTGTTATTCTCTCGCGTTGACATTTTTCAAGTTTAAACCACAAAAAACAACTGAATAAAAACAAATACCCGTGAACTAAACTTTATCTCCAAAATAAAAATTACAATTTTCAAACGTCCCTGAAAATAAAGCTGAACCGACAACAGAATGGTCCGAGCTTCTAGGAGTGATCTTCTTCTGTGTCTCGCACATGTTTGATAACGAACATTCTCCCCTTAGTTCCTGATGTTGATGATATTCTATTGAAGAATTCCCTGCTACATGTTCCCGTGAAGATACTGAACTCGCAAT